GCCCGGACGGCGCTGCAGCGGGCCCCGGTCCACACACCGGGGGCGGGGCCATCGGTCGGGGGCCCGCGTTCCGGGGGCAGGAGGGCGAGGGCCGTCGCCCCCCTCCCCGCCTCCCCCACCCTGCCCACCATCCCCTCGTCCCCGCCGCGCGTGCCGCCACGCGCTGGTCCCGCGCCGCCGCCCATGTCCCCGCTGCACCCGCGCTGCACGCCCTCCCCCGCCAAGCGGCCGCTGCCGACAGCCGCCTCCGCCACCGCCACCGTGCGGCAGGGCCTGGCTCTGCTGGCGCAGGAGGGCTCAGCGTGCGAAGCCTGCGCGGTGCTGGCGCGGTGTGCTGCAGCGCCGCGGGCGGCCGCGCTGGCCGTCGAGGCCGGCGCACTGGAGGCTCTGGTCCAGGCCTGCCTGCGCGGCGGCCAACCGGGGTCCCGGCAGGCAGGGGGCGGAGACGCCGCGAAGTGTCGCGGGGGCATCGCCGCAGGGGGCCCAGAGGGCGGCGCGGAGGGCGGTGACGCAGCAGCGAGGGTACCGGATGCCGGGGCGGGAAGCTCGACCGACGTCGACTCTCCTGGCGCCGCGGCCGGCGCTGCAGAGCGCGTGGCGCTGCTGGCCTCCACGGCGGCCGCGCTGGCCGGCGCGGCGCCCGCCCCCGCCGCACCCGAGCGGCGCCTGGCGCTGGCGCTGTTGCGCGGCGCGCGCGACGCGGCAGAGCCCGCGGCCTGCCTCGCCGCGCTGCGTGCGCTAAGTCGCACTTTCCTCGCCGCACCGCGCGTGCGCGCGCACGCGACGGCGGCGGGGCTGGCCGCCGTGCTCGAGCACGCGTACCTCCGGCACGGGCTGTCCGAGGAGGCCCGCCGAGAGGCGAGCGGCCTCGCGGACCGAATGATTGACGGGCCTGCTGTTGGCCTGGGCGAGTGTTGTGAAGGCCCAGGCCTAGGCAGGATCGCCGAGGACAGCGCCGCGCCCTCCGGTGTCGCAGACCCCAACGCCAGGTCGCCCTCGCGGCGGCTGCCAGCGCCGCTGATGCTGCCGGACGCCTCCGACGGCGAGTCCTCCTGCTCCGGGAGCCCCACCAGGGTGGGGTGCTGTGGCCCTCTGGCGGGATCATCTGTTTCTGGTTGGGCAGAGGATCGAACTATCGATGGGTTAACCCGTTGCACCTCAGTCCAGGGAGACCCGCAGACCATCACCTGATCTCACTCATCCGACTCCCCCCTTGTTCTCCAAGACACCACAGACCTACAGCGTCGCCAGCCTGCCGCCCTCGCCCCAGCGGCAGGTCCCCGGGCGCCGGCTGGGCGTCGTCCCGCCGCTCAACCTGCCGGGGTCCGGCGTGCCGCGCCCGGGCGCGTGCGACTCGCCCCCGGATGCAGGCGCCGCAGGCGGCCTGACCAGGAGCACTCGGCGTGCACGTAGCGGCCGGACCCCGGCGGGGGGGCTCGGTGGGCCGGCGCTGGGCGCAGTCCCCCGCCGGCCCCACCACGCCGGCCGACGGCCCCGGCGGCCGGCCGCGGCGCGGGCCCTGGCTGGCCGAAGGCGGCGACGGCTGGGACGCGCTGCGCAGCGAGCGCAGCGCCCCCTCCCCCGGACACGGCACCGCGCCCGCCCCCTCGCGCCAGCTGGCGGCCCTGGCGGCCGGCGTGGGCGAGGCGCTGGCCGCCGCCTGCCTGCCAGCCGTCGTGGCGCAGCGCCGGGCGCTGCTGTCGAGGGCGGCCCGCGCCAGGGCGCCGGGCGCCGGGGACGGGGCGGGCGACGGCCGAGGGCAAGGATTTGGCGGTGCGACGCCATCGTGTGGGGCAGGCCTCGCGCCCATGACCGGCCCACCGCCAGCCGCGCCCACCCCCCTGCCGGCTCCCGACCCCCGCGCCCGGCTGACGGCGCACCGCATCCTCCTCAACGCTCGCTCCCTGTGCAGCGCGGACTCGGGGACCTCGCCCGGCGAACAGGCCGCGGGGGCCGACGTGGAAGAAGAGTCATTGCCGCGCAGCCGCGGGGAGGCCGCGGGCCGCGATCGTCGCTCGAAACGGCGGTCCGCGGCCCTGCGGCGTGCGTGCTTGGGTCTGTGGAACCAGGCGGCGCCCCTGCACCGAGGGTCGTGGGCGGGCGCCGGGCCGTTCGAGGCGGCCCTGGCGCTGCGCGCGGCCGGCGGCAACGTGGCCTCGGCCGACCCGGCCTCGCGTACTCCGGTCTCCTGCAACGACGACGAAGAAGAAGAAGAAGAAGAAAGCACGGCGACGCTGGCCGCGCTCACGCTCCTGCGCGGCCCGGCCCTCCCCGCTCTCTTGGCGGGGCGTGTCGAGGCGGGCCTGCGCGCCGGCCGCCTGGCGGCGGCCGCCGCGGCGTGGGAGGCCCTAGGCCGTGCGGCGCCGGCCCCGGAGGGCGCCGCCCGCTGCGATCAGGCCGCTCGTCCCTCCCCCGCCGGCGCCTCCATCGCCGCACGCCTGGCGCCGGCGCTGCAGGCCAGCCTGGGCGCGCTGCGCGGCGCCGGGGGCCCCGAGTCCTGGCCCGCCGACGCCTGGCGCCTGCTGGGCTCCGCGCTGCCGGCCTGGACGGCGGCGCTGGCCTGGGCCGGTCCTGAGGCCCGGCCCCTCCTCCGCCCGGCGCTGGCCGACGCGGGACTGGAGGTGCTGCACGCCGTCGCGCTGCGCACGCTGTGCTCCCCGTCGCCGCGCGAGGCGCCGGGGGACGCCGGCAGCGGGCGTGGCGCCAGAGCCGCCCCGTGCCCCGGCGCCGCCACGCCGCCCAAGCCCGCCCTCGCCCGCGCACTGCTGGAACTGCTCACCGCGCTGGCGCGCGCGGTCACCCGCGTGCCCGCGCTGCCCGACGGGCGAGGCGCGGTCGGTCATGGCGAGTCGTGGCGGGACCCTGGTGAGGAGGGCGTGCTCCCCGGGCGGACGCGGCGCGGCGCGCTGCGCGCCCTCGGCTTCGCCCTGCACCCCGACTTTGGCCTGGCCTCCCGCTGGCTGGTGTCGGCGCCGGGGGCGTGCAACGCGCGCGTCAGGCAGGCCGCCTTTGCTCACGTCCGGACCCTGCTCGGGGAGCCTGGCAGCCCGCATGCCCAGCACAAGCCCACAGCGGGTGAGTGGGTGTGGGAGGGGGACCGGGGAGTGGGGAGGGGGGGGCGGGGGGGGAGACTGCCCCTGGGTACCGCGGCGGTCCGATGACACAGTAGTGCGGGCTCCGTCGGTCCTGCGCAACCAAAGGGCTGGCATACGCCAGCTACCTCCTACCCCAGCCCCCGCTGTGGCCACAACGTCCATGCAAACAGACACCCATGGCATAGTGACAGCCCTCATCACACACCACTCTGTCAGAACCACTTTCCCAACATCCCATGAAACACACACACAGACTTCTACGTCAGGCACCACTTTGTCCAGTTCCTGCGCCTCTACCACAACCCACACCGCGACCACCAGGCCCTGCTGCTGTGCCGGCAGCACCTGGGGGTGTTGCAGGTACTGGCGGGGCAGCCGGGCCCGGCGCGAGCCCGCCTGCTGCAGCTGTCGGTCCTGGACTTTTGCACGCGCGAGGTGAGGGCTGCTGGGGGGCCTGGGCGTGGGATTTGTTTGGCAGGAGATGAATGGTCGTGCAGGCGGGGAGTTGCGTTGTGCGGCGAGCTGTCGGGCCCCTCTTGATACGCCCGGGCTACACCCTGCGCTCAGCCGAGTGACCTGCCGAGTCGCATGATCTTTGACGGCCTCCAACACTCCCCCACACACACACTCCTGCGACACTGCCTGCTCCCTCCGCAGCTGAGCCTAGAGATGGGCATGCAGGAGTCCGCCTGGGCGCCGGCGCAGCGGACGGAGACCCTCAGCATGGACAGCGCCGGCTCGGTGGCGGGCCTGCGCGAGGGCCTGCCCCACCTCCGGCGCCTGTCTGGCGCCGGCCTGAGGGGCGCGGGCCCGACGGACCCTGGACCGCACAGCAGCCGCGCCCCCTCCCCCGCCAAGCCCGCGCCCGCGGTGCCGCGGCTGCGCCTGGGCGGAGCCCCGGCCCCATCCACGGGCGTGTCCCCAGGCGCCAGCAGCGTGTCCCCCGCCGGGTCGCCCGGCGCCAGCGCCACGCCGGGGACGAGCGCCACGGGCCCCGTCTCCGGCCGGCCGCCCCTGCACCCCTCAGCCCGCGGCTCTGGCACCCCGCTGCCCAGCTCCAGGCACGCAGAGTGGAGAGGAGGAGGGATGCATTGAGGGGAATGCTTGCAGAATCTGACGGGCGGGGGCTGGTGCACAGGGGGCCGGAGAGTTTATATGGTCATTCCCATGACTGATTGTCATGACTGATCCCTCCCTGCACAGGCTGCACTCCGTCTCCGGCCCGCTGTCCGGCGGCGGCGCCCCGTCCCGCGTCCCCTCCCTGAGCCTGGGGGCCGGGCCCTTTGCCGCGCGCACGGCCAGCGGCACCCTGCAGCTGGCGCTCCCCGCCGCCGCCAGCATCCTGGAACGGGACGAGGACGGGAGTGGCGGCAGCGGGGACGACTCTGAGAGCGGAGGCGAGGCCAGCAGCAGCGAGGCGGATTCAGGCGCCGGCGACGCCGCCGAAGGTGCCAGCCAGAGCGACTCGGACAGCGACTCGGGCGGCGACGCGTGCCCCTGGGACCGGCACATGCAGCGACGCATCGGCGCCCGGCCACGGGCGTGAACAAGACACCCGCTCCGCGCCCGGCCTGCCGGCGGGCCTGGTGCTCACCGGGGATCTCGAGGAGGACCTGGACCGGCTGGAGGAGGCGGAGGCACGCGCCGCGGCGGCGGCGGTCCGGCGGGGCCGGGCCGGGGCTCGGCGCGCGGGCAAGTCAGCCCCCTTTGCAGGCCTGCCCTCGCCCGCCGGCTCGGGGGACGAGCGGGCGCACTCCCCCGGCGCGTCCTCCGACAGCGAGGCGGCCTCGCCCACCATCGCGGCGGTGAGGGGCCCGGGGTCGCGGCGCGCGGCGCCCCCCGCCGCCGTGCCCGCCCTGGCCCTCGCCAAGGCCCTGCCTGTGGTCAGCAGGGTTGCCGGGGATGGCAACCCCGGACCAGGAACCAACGCTGCTGCGGAGCAGCTGCGGCGGCCCCTGACCATGCCGCGGCTGGCGCTGGGCAAGAGCTGCCATTCCACGCTGGCTGGGCGGGAGGCGGCGGCGATGCTCGTGACTTCCCGCGAGGCCGAGTGTGGGAGCGGGGCGCGGACTGAAGGGTCGGCGCGGATCCTGGAGGCGGGGTCGGGGGGTGCCCCGGGCGCCCTCGCGCTCATGGGCCAGCGCCAGCGGTCCCTGCCCTCCAGCGCGCGCCAGCGCCGCCGCTCCATCTCCTCCGTGACAGGTGGCGACAGGGTGGCAGGGCAGGGGAGGTGGGGTTGAGGGGGATTGAGCTGGGAGGTCGACAGGCATGATGAGGGGGTGGTGGGAAGTGACAGCGAATGGCTTGGGGACTCGCTGTCACATGCCATCCGGAGCTGGCGACGCTGCCCATACGCCTATTTTTTAAGTCTTTGTTCTCCCTCGAGCCGAAAGGGGAAGGGTTTGTCTGTGCCTCAGTCCAAACCTTGCCTTCCCCCCAGATCCCCACACACGACCACACACTCATCCCAAACTCCAATGATCACAAACTCACAGACGCAAGCGAGCCCGGGTCGCTGGCCGCAGAGCTGTCTTACCGGGAGGAAAGGAAGGCGCGGCCGCTGTACGCCTCGCCCGCGCTGCACGCCCAGGTGCTGGCCTTGGTGCTGCGCCTGCTGGTCTCGCCCGCGGGGCGGATGGACCGCGGGGCGTCGGACCCCTTCCCCTGCGAGCGCGGCCTGCCCAACGCGCCGCACGTGCTGCGCCACCACCTGGCGCACCCGGGCAACGCGGGCGTGCTGGCGGACCTGGCGGCGCGCTGCGCGGGCATGGGCCCGGCCACGCTGCGCCTGCTGCGCCTGGTCTCCGGCGCGGGCTTCCGCCCCGCCTGGTACGCGCGCCGCGCGCGCATGAGCGGCGCGGCGGGGGCCTACGCCACCGTGCACCGCTGCGCGCTGCCGGCCTTCCTGGCGGACTCGCCGGGCGCGCCGCCGCGCCGCGTCGTCCTCAAGGTCCTGGATGCAGCACGCGGCGTGCAGGACCGCTGCTCCTCCGTGGACGTGCACGCCGAGGTGGGGGTGATGCAGGCACTGACGGACAGCCGCCGCGCCGCGCGCCTGCACGACTACGGCTTTGACCCGGGGGAGGAGGCCTACGTCCTGGTCCTCCAGGAATACGCCTGCTCGCTCAGGTACCTGGAAGGGGGGGGGGGGTCCTTTCATTCTGATATATTGGGAGAGAGGGGGGGATTGTTGAAGCATGCACTCCCGAAGGGAGGGTGGCAGGGACCGATTTTTGACAGGGGTCTGAGGAAGTACGGCGGTGGGGCTGGGGAGGATGGAGCGATATGGGTCTGGGCGTCAGGCGGAGGTGGCACCCTGTAGGGAGGGACCCACCCGCTTGACCTTGCCCCACCCCCCTCTCACCCCCACAGGCAGTGGCGGCTGGCACAGGCCGAGGGGGGGCCCAGGCAGGCAGGCACCTACCTCCGCATCTTCCGGGAGATTCTTCGTGCAGTGCAGGCAAGTCTGGGAGCGGGGCGCCTGTGCATGGGAGTGAGTGGGTGACGAGGCGGTGGTGCAGCGGCACGCTGTGCTCGATGGGCCAAGGGAGACAGGGGTCCTGATACCGCGGAACAGGATGGTGCCTGAAGCTCGCATGCCTGAGGACATCAGGGGTACTGGCATGTCGCCATATTCCTTCCCCCCGCCTCCCTATGACAAGGGAGAACCTTTTGCATGTGTGCATCTGCTGATTTTGCTGCTCCTTGTCCTAAGAAACGCCACTCTTTGTCGCTCCCATGCACCACACTCCACGCTCTTATTCCCTGCTCCGCCCCTAACCCTCACCCCCGCCAGGAACTGGCCGATCGAGGGATCGCCCACTTTGATCTGAAGTGCGACAACGTCCTGCTGCAGCCACGCGACCCGCCGTCCTCCCAAGGACCAAGGGGCACGCCTGGCAGCATGCAAGACGCCCTACCCTTTGAGGTGGTCCTCGCCGACTTTGGGGAGAGCATCCAGTTTGACAGCCGGGCCAAGGCTGGGGCGCCCAGCCTCGCTGCTGCATCGGGGTGAGCAAGCCAGTGCATGAGTGAAAAGGAATGGCAATGCTGATAGGCCATGCCTCATGTGGCCTTCCACAGTCCTCCAGCTTCATGTCCTGTCACACGCAGTGCCCCCTGGCCCGTCATGTCGCCCCCATTAACAATCTCTTGTGCACTCGTTTAGGGTCAGCAACGCTGGCGCAGACCCCGGCCAGCAGCTCGGAGCCACGGCGGCGATCACCAACCGCGTGCGGGGCACCGACGTCTTCAAGTCGCCGGAGATGCTGCTGCTGGGCGGCGCCCACGACCGCATGGACGGCGACCGGCGGCGGAGGAGGGGAGTGGGGCCCGCCTCAGACGTCTGGTCGCTGGGCTGCCTCCTGTTCGAGCTGGTCACCGGCCAGCACCTCGTCACCGACCCGGACTGGGCCACGCTCGTGGCGCGGGTCGCCGCCGGGCGCCTGCCCCTCTTCACCCCAGACCGTCTGAGGCTGATCCAGGTGCGGTGAGGGGGAAAGGATGCGAGGGAGTGTGTGGGTGGAGTGTATTCTGCTGCAATCATGGCGCCAAATTCCAGTCGACAGAATCCACTACCTCCCTACCATGATGACGCAGGACTGCCCTGCCATCCTGGACCTCATCCGATTCATGCTGGTGAGGGAGGCACAGCTCCGGCCCACCCTCAGGGATGTCTCCCTGCGGTGAGTGGCGGCCCTGGAGGGGTTAGCAGGCCAGGGATGAGGGTTCTTGTTGTTTGGCAAACACCAAGTCAGGGACTTGACACCAAGATCCCAGCGCAGATGCCCATGCTGGCCAGGGCCATGCTTGCCATCGGCCCTACTGTGTGCGGGCATGCACCTCAGCACACATACCCCAGACCCTGCCGGCCCATCCCCAAAGGACCGTCACCGCTGCTCGCATGCCCCCACATTCCTCACACGCAGTGTGGAGGTGGCTCTAGCATGCCTGGGGCAGCAGCCGTTGACGAGACCCGCGGCAGGGAACCCCAGGGCAAGACACCACGAGAGCACTTGCTGGCCCCGGCCGCCCGACAGCGAGCCCATGCAGGTGCCGCCCGGTGGCCTTGACCGTCTCGACGCCGCGTGGCCCTTGCCCGACGCGTCCCCAGCCGTGCCGCCCGCCCAGCCCCTGACATCCTTCCTCCCCGTCAAGCCCTGGCTGTCGGTGGGGCCCCTGGCGGCCGTGGGTAGCAGAGGCGTGCTGCAGGTATCGGGCGGCGCAGGGGGCGACGGCTGGTCGGCTGGAGGCCCCGCCTCCCTACTCCTTCTCGTCCTGGGCGAGGGAGCTGGCGGCGGCGGGGGTGCGGACGCCGCGCATGTCCCGTGCTGTGGCGGTGCGGCGGAGCCCAGATCGGCAACGCGTCCCCGGGAAGAGCCTCCTGGAGACCGCTTCGCGACCCCCGGCGCCTCGCCCGACCTGTCCTCCCCCGAGCGCCGGGGGCGGGCGCCCGCCTCCGACTCCAGTGTCGCCGGCTCGTTTGCCAGCCCGGCGAGGGCGGAGCGCAACACCTTCTCCGTAAACCCCCTGTGGAGCCCCGACGCGCGGTCGATGGGGGCTCCAGATGCCGAGCATGCGAGCGACGATGACGGCTGGAGGCAACCGGTCCAGCCCCCAGGCACTCGCGAGGTGGCTCGCGCAGGAGACTGCCGGGGGGGAGCGCGGAGAGGAGAGGGGGATCGGCGGCCACCTTTCCCCATCCGGTCATGCGCACGCTGCGCCTCGCTCGACCAGCCCGGACAGAAAACGGGCGGTGGGGCGCAGGCTCTGGGGCGCGCTCTGGGGCGGCGAGCACCGCAGCGGCGGGCGCGTCGCCGCCGAGCCGCTCGTGACGACGACGGGAGGTGCGCTCGACGGGCCTGATCTGATGCGAGACCGGGGCGTGGCAGCGGAGGGAGGTGAGGATGCGGTGGATGAGCGGGATGCCAGCGGCGACGGTGCCAGGAACGGCGTCGGCGCGACCGGAGAGCGCCTCGCACCAAACCAGCAACCGTCGGGCCCCGTCCCCGCTCTTCCTCTCGAAGAGGAGGGCGCCGTTCATGACCCGGCCGCCAAGCACCTGGCGAGCGCGCTGGCCGGGGTCATGGCGCACGGCCCCGAGGCGGAGGCCGCGGTGAGGGCCGCCGTGGCGAGCGGCGTGGCCTGGCGGGCGAGCGCCCCGCCACCCGCGCCCCGGGAGCCGGCGGCGGCGCCAGGGCACACACTCGCGCACCTGACGGCCACCTGGCGCGAGTGGGTGGGCCAGACCCTGGACTGCCTGGACGGGGTGCTGGGGTGCGGCACGGCAGAGGAGCCTCGGCGCCTCAGCCTGGCGTGCAGTCCGGGGTCCGAGACGGCGCTGGCCCTGCTCGCCGTGGCCGTGCTCAGGCGGCGCGGCAGGCTCTGCATGCTGGAGGCCGCCACCGCGGCGGCCGCCTGGGGCCTGGACTCACGCCTGGAGGCCTGGCAGCTGGAAAGTCTGCCAATCCTCTTGGCAGATGCCTGAGCGGCATGCATCGTCGAGGCGCAGCAAGGAGATGGAGGACCCCCGCTTGCACGATTTTCCCATACACGAGGACAGGGCTGCGGCAAGTACACTGTCTGGTTTCTGCTTCCCTGGTCAGACTTCCTTTGTATCTGTGGCAGCGTCGCACACATCGACAGAGCACGCTGGGAAGTTGCATCGATGCACGCTGGCACCTGAGCATGCAAAGGCGGCAAAAACGACCCCTCCCCCGCTCAGCCAAACTGAGACGCCAGCAGCGCCCTGTACTCCTCCAGCAGGGTCGCCACCTCGTGCATGCGCAGGTCCTCAGCCCGGAGGTGCATGAACCGACCCGGCATGCGGGACAGGTCCGCGGCGTCCCCGGGCCGCTCTCTGAGCGCAGCCGCAAAACCCCGCCCTGGCCAGGCGCCGGTAGTCGGCCACCAGCGCGCCCACGTCCCCCCGCAGCTCCTGTAGCCGTGGGGGGGGGATGATTGAAGAGGGGTGCTGGGCTTGGGAGTGGGCTGGTGGAGAATGGACCGTGCCTCCCCTGGACCAGTTCTTTTATCCCGAGATAAGATGAAACCGTGGACTGGCCCCCCCCCCGGGCAATAGCACTGCTGTTTCATACTTCTTCTGACCCACAAGAACCTTCCACTGGGGGAACAATCATGCGCAGTCGTATAACTTCG